CCATTCATGAGTATGTCGAACAGCCTTGGTCCCAAAACAGATCCTTAGTGGACCCTGCTGTTATCTCGCTCCACTGTGATGCCTGATTGTCAGGGCTGCTGACAGAATGGGGTCCCAAGCCCCCAGAAACGATGGGGTGTCGGGTGGAAGGGGCAGGATCGGGGGCTAGCCAGGCCCACACCATCTGTGGCTCTGATAGAGATTGAAATTGCCCAGGGCTCTGGCCACTGCTGCAGTAGTGGCAGTGGCAGCTAGGAGCCCTGGGTCCTTTTAAATTGCCAGGCCCCGAGACAGCAGCGCGGCTCTGCTGATCATTCATTCCTACCTTTTGTTTCCCATATGCTAACCTGAGAAGTCCCTGCCTGGAAAAGGACATAAGAGATTCCCAACATTTCTTGTCTCACTAGATGTCTGTAGGTAACTCAATGAGGACACAGTTTTCAAAAGGGGCCCCTGATTTTGAGGATCCAGTAGTCGGAGCTGGTTCTTAGAGAGGCTAAACACCCGCGACTCTCGTCAAACTCAAAGGAATTTGTGGGTGCCCTGGGGAAATTCAACTGCAAGTGTCCCAAAATTATGCACCCCAACTCAATGGCCACTTTGGAAAAGGTTTGCTTTAGCGCCTCCGTGTGTCAGTTTCCCTATCCATAAAATGGGGCTACTAATATTCATCTTTCTCCCTCTCAGGGGCTGTGAGAGTGGAGTAAGGGCTGGGCACTACTCTGTAATCATAAAATGTTCTAGAGGTGGCAATATTATTTGTGCTGCTGAATCAATGTTTCCATTACAGCCAGCTGGAATGGGAAAGAAATCCTGGGTGTGGTTATATTCACTGAGGGTACGTCTACACTAGCCCCCAGATCGATCTAGGGATGCTAATGAGGGCAACCGAAATTGGTAATCAAGCCCAGGATTTAAATATCCCGTGCTTGATTTGCAATTTCAGTCACCCTCATTAGCCTCCCTAAATTGATCTAGGGGGCTAGTGTAGACGTACCCTCAGTTTGCTTAGATCTACTAGGTATTCAACAATTGTTATGTAAATACAGTTCACGCTGGAATGGGAAAGAAATCCTGGGTGTGGTTATATTCACTGAGGGTACGTCTACACTAGCCCCCTAGATCAATTTAGGGAGGCTAATGAGGGTGACTGAAATTGCAAATCAAGCACGGGATATTTAAATCCTGGGCTTGATTACCAATTTCGGTTGCCCTCATTAGCATCCCTAGATCGATCTGGGGGCTAGTGTAGACGTACCCTCAGTTTGCTTAGATCTACTAGGTATTCAACAATTGTTATGTAAATACAGTTCACGCTGGAATGGGAAAGAAATCCTGGGTGTATTTATGTAAATACACTTCACTTAGGTTGCTTAGACCTGCAAGATATTCAATTGTTAGAATGGTATTTTGCCTATTGTAACCAATTTGACTGTTATTGGTCACAAACTGTGTTAACCCTCCGTGCAGGAATTGTAAGATATGACCGCCAATGCTTGCAGTTATTGGGAATGCAGAAAAGTCAGACTGGCTATGTCTACACTGCACCCCTTTTCCGGAAAAGGGATACAGATTAGACACTTTGGAATAGGCAAATCCACGGGGGATTTAAATATCCCCCGCGGCATTTGCATTAACATGGCTGCCGCTTTTTTCCGGCTTGGGGATAAGCCGGAGAAAAATGCCAGTCTAGACGTGATTCTCCGGAAAATAAACCCTTTTCCGGAGGATCTCTTATTCCTACTTGAAAGTAGGAATAAAAGATCCCGGGCCACTGTGTTTAATTCAGTTCAAAGAATAGACCCTGTCAGTGTAAAGAATCTCAGATGGACAAGGCTTCCCTTGCCAAACTCTATGAAGTCAACTGGGGGCAGGGGAGAGCTGTGAACCAGCAGGCTGCATGCACTCCAGGCGTGAGCTATAAGACTGGTTCAACCTGTTTCTCCTCCTGCCCACTTCTAATGTTAGAACTAAAACAGAGTCCATAAGAAGTCTCTTTGTTATTTTAAAATTTTATTCCAGTGGATGCTGGAATATTTCAGCTGGCTGGACTGTGCTGTGGGCCAAGTGCTGAAATCACAGAGAGGAGAAATCAGTAGGTTTGGCCCAGAGTCAAATCCATAACAAGGCCAGCAGCGGTGAGCAGCCGGCAGAAGCAGCGGCAGACGGCTGGCAGGAGCAGCACGAAGGTGGCAATGCCACCTGCTCAACGAGGGGAGATGTCATGATGACGTGCCTATGAGCTCTGGATCTGCACTGCTTGGATAGAGCCCTAAGTGGGGTGTTTGAAGTGAGGGGGAACCACACTATATGAGTTAAGGGTTGGACTAAAGATCTTTAAGCAAAAGACTCTGCCCTGTGGTCTCCAGGGATGGTACCTTGCTTACGGGTTTTCTTTATTTATGTGTGTTCCTGTGGGTTGGTGCTCGATTACTGTTATTAAACAGACTGTTTCTACCTCCAACCCTGTGTTTGCAAGAGGGGAAGAAATGCCTCTAAAGGCGCTCAGTGGGTAGGTTGGAATTTTACTAGTTTACTGGACCGGAGCCCAAGCCAGTTTGGTTACATTGTTGAAAGAACCTCCCTAGATACTGAACCCGGCCCTTCGAAGGGTTACACTGGTTTAAATTGTGTTGGATCGTCTCTGGCAGGCCCACAAACACGGAACGAGAATGTGAATTGCAAGGTTGAGAGTATTTCCAACCAAAGATCTCTTTTTTTTTTTTTCTTTTCAACCAGCATGAAAATTACAGGCTCCGCGTCTGTTGTCCATCACATTCAGTGAGAGGAAGATGTCTGGCGAGAAACCCACAGGGTTAATACAACAGGACAGCTCCAACGGCATGCCAATTACCTTTTGCCATTAAGCTAATGTTACGGATTTGCAATGGGTCTTTCAATGGATTGTATTATTAGCAGCAATACAACTTCCATTCAAAGCAGCGCAGATAATGACATGTGGGTGTTAAATTGTTCGCCCACTTCCAAACTTTGAAGCGTTCAATTTAGTGTGCCAGGGGAGGGGGTGAGAAGTAACGGTACTACGAATCTTCACTCTTTTGAGGCAGGGATTGTTTCTTATTATGCGCCTGGACATGTCCCACTTCCAAACTTTGAAGCGTTCAAGTTAGTGTGCCAGGGGAGGGGCTGAGAAGTAACGGTACTAAGAATCTTCACTCTTTTGAGGCAGGGATTGTTTCTTATTATGCGCCTGGACATGTGCCTTCCACGATGGAGCTCTGATCTCTGAATAAGCCCTCTCAATGCCACCACATGGCAAATTATATCAGTTAAATAATCCAAATATGACGCAGTAGAATGCAAGATGCAAGATGGGGGCAAGGGATGGGCCCAAATCCCCAAGCATGTCTGAGATTTGGGGCAGCCTAAATCTGCACCCAAAATTTGGGCCTTTAGGCTTCTTTCTTGTGGCCAAGCCCGGATGAGACAAGACGGTTCATCCAAAGCTAACTGGGGGAAAAGTATCAGAGGGGTAGCCGTGTTAGTCTGAATCTGCAAAAGCGACGAGGAGTCCTGTGGCACCTTATAGACTAACTGAAGTGTAGGAGCATAAGCTTTCGTGGGCAAAGACCCACTGACGAAAGCTTATGCTCCTACACTTCAACTGGGGGAAAGTTTCTCAGTTCCTGGGTCAGGCTGGAAGTGCAGGAAGTGGAGACCTCTGCTCATCCTCATGGGATTGGCAGCCTGAGTTATCAGATCTGGAACGTGGCAGCAGCGCACTTGTATAATACACCCCTCACCCTCTGTTGCTAGAAGCCAACGTCTCATTAGTCTTCTTTACAGCCTCTGCACGCTGGAAGGGGGATGTGAAATGCTGGGTCTCCAGAGGCCTGGAAGGACAGAGTGCTAACTGCGCCGAATACCACACGTCAGCCCTCTCAGAGGGAACGCCGATGGGAGACAAGGAGAGATTTCTGCTCTGGCAGAAGAAAATGGACACAAAGCACCAGAGGGAAAACTGTGACATGAGGTCTTCTTTACAGCCTCTGCACGCTGGAA